CCCGCCCCTGGCCCCCCTGTCATTTTGCCCCCAAAACAGTAAGGTTATGGAGAAGGATGAAAAAAGAGAATGTGACACATCTCTTCACCGTGCCACCAGCTGCAATTTCTGTCATCTGGTGGAACTGTCAAGAGACCGCAGGGAAAATGAATAGCTTGAACCTGAGAGAAGAAAAGAACGTGTTGAAAAAAAGCAATGTTCTACTCGTATGTCAGAGAAGCTGCAGGGGAGAAGAAAAGGCCCCAATTACAAAGTGAAAAAGACGCACTTAGACACACAAACACCGGAATGTGCTGCAAGAGAAATGGAGTCAAATCCTGCAGACGAATAGCGCATTAAACAGCCGGCATCCTTGCTGGCCAGCCTCCATGGGAACTGCGTTAAAGCGTCTCGACAGCTGAGTGATGTTAAGCAAAGTAAACACAATAAGATAAATGGCGCAAAGAAGCACACACTGCCAGGCGCGGTATGGCGGTGACACAGTGGCCACTGTGTTAATGAAGAAGTTATCAATGTTTGGCAACATGGACACCGTGTCACTGAACCGCGCTTGCACTGTGTTCAACGGTCTTACTGCTGCCTCGTTAGGATCACACAGTACAGAGCAAACCGAGAAAGTTCCAGCATGTACACACAAAAGCAACTGCATTCGCTGTACTAGAACAATCTATCCATCCATTTCCAGGGTTGCGGGTAAGTGATTTGGACTGCCAGCTGACTTGGATATGACGGCAGATGGCACCTTAGACTGGCTGCCAGCCAGTCGTCAAGCAGTACACGTGGATCAAAAAGTATTCACATCAAATTTCACAAGTATTGGCAATTCAGAATCGTCAATGGACTTAATATGCATGTTTTTAGAATGCGGCCGAAGCAAGACCATTCTAATTCCACAAAGAGACGTTCCAGTGGAGATTGATCGAAACCCCAATTTCCTAACTGTGAGACTGACATGTACAGTAACTAAATAAAGTGCCACCCATATTTGCAACAGCATTCATGAAGAAGCAGGGTTGCGCTACACTACAGCTACAATATAAACAATGCTGTTCTTGTATTAGCTTGCGTCAATCGAAACTGATGAATATTGTTTGTGTGGCAAAGTTTGGTTGGTTGGTTTTAACCCTTTAAGGCACAGCGGTTACTACAGTGGACAGCTTATCGCGTTATCAGGTTACAGGGTGCAGGAAGGGGTTAAACAGTGTTACCTTGAATTTTGAATGTCTCATAAAATGCATCATTTCGACCCAAATCTTTGTGCAAATCGTCATGTTGTGTATTTGCGATGTTGGACAAGAAGGAATCCTGAATGAAGATGTTGACTGCTAAATTAGCTTGTCATGACAGCTCTTAGCCAGCCATATGCTATAGCCTGCCAATGCATTTGGGAGGGGTTAAAAAAACAAAAACAAAAAAGCCTCAACAGCGTGGATTTTCACGTAATTCGATTGGGTCAGGTACATATCGCCAGCAATAAACACGGCAGTTCACAATACAAGTGACTCACTACCGGAAGCACGCCAGTGCAGCATACATGCTCCTAGTCAACGTGAGGAGACAACTCCCACGGGAATACATCAAGTCAACCAAGGAGCCACGACTATTCAATGTAATTGTCAAGATGTCCACCTCCAACTCATCATATTGACCTCATCCGTCCAGGAAGCGAGATGAGCATGCATGTCACTTATCCAACACGTTGTCACTATCTAGGGGAACCCCTCAAATTTGTGATACTCTTGACAATTTATCACTGCACCTGTTTTTCATATCTGTACAGTATTCAAATGAAGCTTTGAAAAGCATCTCTTTCCTAGGAGACAATGAATCAATGTTTTATAGTATATTGTAATGATCCGCAATGGTCTGTTTACAGAAATAAAATCCAGCAGCTGTCTGCCCTGAGGCACACTGGAGGACAAGGAGGCTTCTCCATGGTTACCTATATCGGTACAAGTGGGAAGCGTCACTACACAGCGAACCAAGGAAGGCTGGATTATTGGGATAACGCCTAATGAGGCAGAACGGGGCTAATTCTATTTGAACTTCTCCTCTTGAGTCAACTTTACGGACACGATTAGCTCGCTGACACGAGAGACGGGAACAGAGGGGTTGTGGGAAGGCGACGGCGGCAGGAAAAAAAAAATCAATTTCCTCCCTGGGCAGTTCAAAACAAATGTTATGAAATTAATATCCTGCCTTTTACTGTAGTTGACCCACTACTCCGCTGGGTATCATCACGAGGGAAACAAATTGACTTCAAGTTGTTGCGACTTCATATTTTAGCAGTTTGCGCGAGAGTAAATCATGCAAGCTATTTGAGCCAATAATATCAACAATTGAAGGAATAATTCATGTTTACGTGGGCTCTGCGCACAAACAGTGGAATAGGAGTCCAACTCCAGATGAAACTACTGGCATGCATTCTCTTTGTATACATTGCGGCTCTGTGGAATCTCATGAGAATTGCAGTAGGAACATGATGCGCTATGTCGTGTCCGTAACTGGACATCCTGTTCAGAAACACACCACACAAGCTCATACTGATTTCTGGAGCTTTTTATTATTCCACATTGGTTAGGGTTGGTGTATATAATTTGATTTTATCTACCCATGCATGCATTTCCTATAGCGCTTTCTCGTTACGGTTGCAGGTGGGCTGGAGTCTATCCCAGCTGGCTTTGGGCAGCCTCACACCCCTGGTCTAGTCGCCAGTCAATTACAGAGCACACAAATAATCATCCATTCTCACGCACATTCACTCCTTTGGACAATTTAAAGCAGGGGTGGGAAAAGTCGGGAGGCTGGATTAAGTTTAGCAGATGGACAAGTTGAGACACGCCTCGTTGCTAACAAACCAATTTCAAAATTCAGCATGTGGCTACTTTTTTTTTTCGGAGAAAGACTCCATTAAATGCAAATTATGAAGGTAAGAGCCACATGGCAGAAGTGGTTAGACATTTATGTCAAAAAAAAGAAAAAGGTTTTCTGTGATGAAAATAAATTTATCATAAGGTTCATAATGATTGTGTAAAGACTAAAGTCCACTCGGTTTGCCACCTTTCAGATCTGGAAATAAGTGACACTCCTCACAGCATCGTGGCAAAACCATGTGGGCGAAAAAAATGTGAGGGTTTGGCTCCCCAAAACCATTGAAATGCATAGAATCATATATATATATATTTTTTTATATGGAAAAAAAAGCTTTGATTAAATTAACATTATTACACGTCATCTGAGCCTCTGGGACATGGGGTCACTTGGTGGTCAGTAAGGAAGGAGAAGTCAAGAAAGCGTTTTGACGTACTTAAAGTTTAAAGTGCTTTTTTAAAATGTAAATAATTTAAATTGGGAATTTCTCCATTCTGAGACAAATAAAGGTTTTCTTATCTTCTTCTTTCTTAGCAATGAACACAATTTTTTTTATTGAGTAAAGTAGCCTGAACCTGAGCATAGCTTATAGGCCATTAAAAAGTACTTTAAATGAAAGAAAAATCCGTATTTAAACACTTGGAACAATTATGAAAGGTTGCAGGTGGGCTGGAGTCTATCCCAGCTGGCTTTGGGCAGCCTCACACCCCTGGTCTAGTCGCCAGTCAATTACAGAGCACACAAATAATCATCCATTCTCACGCACATTCACTCCTTTGGACAATTTAAAGCAGGGGTGGGAAAGGTCGGGAGACTGGATTAAGTTTAGCAGATGGACAAGTTGAGACACGCCTTGTTGCTAACAAACCAATTTCAAAATTCAGCATGTGACTACTTTTGTTTTAGGAGAAAGACTCCATTAAATGCAAATTATGAAGGTAAGAGCCACATGGCAGAAGTGGTTAGACATTTATGTCAAAAAAAAAGAAAAAGGTTTTCTGTGATGAAAATAAATTTATCATAAGGTTCATAATGATTGTGTAAAGACTAAAGTCCACTCGGTTTGCCACCTTTCAGATCTGGAAATAAGTGACACTCCTCACAGCATCGTGGCAAAACCATGTGGGCGAAAAAAATGTGAGGGTTTGGCTCCCCAAAACCATTGAAATGCATAGAATCATATATATATATATTTTTTTATATGGAAAAAAAAGCTTTGATTAAATTAACATTATTACACGTCATCTGAGCCTCTGGGACATGGGGTCACTTGGTGGTCAGTAAGGAAGGAGAAGTCAAGAAAGCGTTTTGACGTACTTAAAGTTTAAAGTGCTTTTTTAAAATGTAAATAATTTAAATTGGGAATTTCTCCATTCTGAGACAAATAAAGGTTTTCTTATCTTCTTCTTTCTTAGCAATTAACACATTTTTTTTATTGAGTAAAGTAGCCTGAACCTGAGCATAGCTTATAGGCCATTAAAAAGTACTTTAAATGAAAGAAAAATCCGTATTTAAACACTTGGAACAATTATGAAACACTTAATAGCCAGAACTTGAGTATATAGACCTGGCCTACTGTGAACCTGAGCATAGCTTATAGGCCATTAAAAAGTACTTTAAATGAAAGAAAAATCCGTATTTAAACACTTGGAACAATTATGAAACACTTAATAGCCAGAACTTGAGTATATAGACCTGGCCTACTTGAGTATATAGACCTGGCCTACTGTATTGTATGCATATAAAGGGCTGTAAATTACACAAAGCTTGTCTGGGGACACTTGCACTGAAAGAGGACAATACTTAAATTAAACACCTAGCCTATAAAGTGCTTTAAATGTAACAACTTTGGACAACTTTACTTTAAGAGGAAGGAAAAAATATTCAAGTCTCAATAGATGGAACTACAGAAAACCACAGAAAATATTCTCCGGCAAACTTTACATTTTGCTTTATAGTCCTCTCCACTGACACTGTCAAGCCAAGGGTGTGTCTCTTCCCACTCTCGTCTATATATATGTTGCCGTTTCCTCTTTTGAGTACGGGTAGAGTCTCACGAGTATCCGCCTGTAGTCAACATTTTTAAAACCCGTGGCGCAGTCTGGTGTTTAGTGTGCAGTGAGCGAGTTACTAGGCAACGATCACGACAGGCAGCGGCAGTGCGAAGGGGCTGGTCTGCCTGCGTGCAGGCAGACAGACAGAGGATTTGGCACAGAGCGGACGTCAGTAGCGTAAAACGAACAGGGGTTCAGCCCCTGCTAAAGTTTTTGACAAAGTAGCCAAGAATGTGAAAGTGGGAACGTCTATTTGCACCCTGCTGCGACCTGGACAAATGGAATGTAGAGTCAAGTGGAGAGGTTGGGAAATGGATTATGGAGGCGTGAGGGAGGAAGAACATGATGGATGTTGAGACTGAAAGTTGATGTTGACAGGCACTCCATGAAGCATCCTGTTTTAAGAGGAATCATCTTTCATGTTTTCTTTCAGGGCACACAAAGTATTCTCAGGCTGAAAGAAAAGCTCGCATGCGTAAGATTGGTCTTGGTGTTGAACTGTGTTTCATAAATGAGTACGGAAGTATTTGAGCAAATGACTGATTTCAATCGGTACAGATATGTACATATTATTTTGGCTTATTAGCTTAACCCAGGAAGGGAGGGGTGGAAGGGTAGATGTGAGCCTGGATGGGGGGGTGGGGATCCTCCTGTGGGGAGGAGGGGAAAAGCGGGCGGGGTAGCTCTGTGGCACATTTTCTACAAAAATTTTGAATCAGAGATGCAAGTAAACTTTGAGATTTTTTTATTTTTTGGAACGGATTCTGAATCTTCTCTTGTTTTTTTTTTCAAGCATATCAGATTTTCATCACAACAACAATAATACTACTACGACTATGAATAATAATCATGTTTTATGCCAACATCTTTACAAATATTTATGATTTCAGGTGGATTTTTTTTCCTGAAATGTCATATAGCTATAAATTACAACGCATGGTAAAAGCCGCATTGTGTAAGCTTTTATAGGTCAAACTGATCCACAAAAGTAAAAGTATCTCAAAATCATGATGTGCTAGAAAAAAGTAATGATTTTTAAAATCAGCACTGAATATATGTTCAGGGGCATATCGAGCCATTTCTGGTCAATTGTTATTAAAAGGAACAAGAGTATTTTGGGTACACATTTTATCTTATTTTATTTTATTTTTTTTGCATTCATGTACCATCATTTCGTCCATTTTCCATACTGCTTATTGTCACTATGTTCACGCGTATGCTGGAGCCTATCCCAGCTGACTTTGGGCAAGAGGCGGGCTTTTGGAATGTGGGAGGAAACCGGAGTACCCAGAGATGATGATAAACTATTGTTTTATTATTAAGCACTTTGTAAACCTATTTTCTATCATTAACCCATTTAATATCGCCGGTCATATTTGTGAAGGACAACAATGATTTAATTTACAGGGCTCTAAAAATTGTTATTACTGATTACTTAAAAGGGCTACCAATGACACCTGATTTTGACTTTTAAATGTCTGGGAAGAATTTGGGTTTAAATGGGTTAACACATTCACATTTTTAAAAAAATAAATCTGATCTACAAAATGGGCAGAGCAAAGATGCCAACCCAGAACCTCTCAACCGTGAGGCAGATATGCAAACTACTTATCCAGCATGTTTTCCTAATGTTTCATTCTTAAAAGGCATGAAGATTTCGCAAACAAACTGTCAAGGCTAAATATGATCAGTTTCGGAGTGAGAAAAGACTTTTTCAAAACAGTTATTAAAACGTGTTCTTGAGTGGAAAAAAACCCCGACATCAGTAATTGGTATATTCAATAAGGTGAGGCACTCCTCAAAGGTTTCCATCATATCACTACTAAATGCAGTAGCGGCCTTGAATCCGTCCTCAGGAAGAGTTTTACTCTTTAGAAAATACAAGCTATGAATCAAAGCAGTGTTCTCCAAAGCGAGCTGCCTTTCCCGGCGAGGGCATCAATCAGAAAATTCACTATCTGCTCGGGAAAATGGCCAGCAATAATGTTAAATGTGCAATTTTCTCTTTCCAAAGTGGGCAAGATAAGGTCGGAAACAGAGCAATCACAGAGTGCATTTGCATCACAATTTAGTCAGTGTCGGAGAAAATAAAGTTCGAGCACAAATTTGGCGTAATAGAAGACGAGATAGTGGCCCTGCGCCAGACGACACAGCGTGCGACTGCAGCGGGTCAAAGGTGAAAATTATTCCGCCCCAATCATCCATCGGTACATGTGACATTTGCTGTCATATTTGCGTGGAGCAGAGGTGCTGTTTGGCAGAACGACTGTGCACCTCTCACTTCCATAGTATTTCTGAACAAGGCTGCTTTCAGAGGCAGAAAATGACACGTAATTATATTTACCGTCATTCTCTCACAATGCTGCCCGTCTCCCATGTTTGACCCTTGCCTTTCTCGACAAAATATGCCCTCGATAGTTTCTCTCTTACATGAGCCAGACACCTCAATGCTTGGTTACTGTCACCTGGAAACAGACAACGGAGTGTGGAGGGACTTTTGAACCATTATTTAGTGTGCGTCGTTGCTTTTAGACAGTCACATTACAGCTGCACTCGCGCCGCTGTCTTGTTGATGTATTATTCGCAACAAACAAGCCCCTGAGAGCAGCATGATTTCCATTTGGGCTATTAGAAAACTTGCTCTCATGCAAGCACGGGCGGCAATCTTTTTTTCATCACAGACCGCAACACACACATCACCGACAGATTTTGCGCGTCTTTGAAAAAAATCAAACAAGAGTTTCAAGCCAGCCGAGGGAATTTGAATGCATTTCACACACACTTGTTTGTGTAAAGCAAAAAAAAGAGCCCAAAGACGACTTTTTCCGTAACCTTCATGTTTTGAGTGTGGAAGCATGAAAAGTTCATTACATCAAGCTTAAATGGTTTAAACTCCTAAATCACCTTAAACAACATGCAAAAGTTCTTTTGCAATCTCAGGAACCAGGAAGCCAATCAAATGGGTTCATTCGAGTGGCTTGAAGTCATCAACATTCAATGAAGCATTCTTGTTTCATTCATCAACACCGATCCAATGTTTCGTGGAGCAATGAAAATGGGGCTTCGACCTTGACGGATGACCAGTGATTACGAGCTCACGAGTCAAATGGACGTTTCTCGAGTAAAACAGAAAACTCGACTATCACAGCCTATTACATCATTGTTGCTTTCGGGTTCAATAGCTTGTCATCACACCGAATTTAAGATCATTGCATTGGCTCCCTGTGTGTCTCAGGTTGGATTTCAGGTTCTTTTTACTACCTGGGCCATCATATCAAACTGAAGTGGTTTTATTTTATCAATCCTCATTGGGCCCTGAGGTCCTCTTCTCTGGCACAGAATTTTTAATTGTTCCCAAATCTAGAACAAAAACCTACCGAGGAGCTGCTCCCGGAACAGCCTGCCAGAAGACCATCAGAGCCGCAGGGACTATTGATGCTCGAGACTCACCTGTTTGGGTTATAGTTTTTCATTGATTTCTTTTCTATTCTAAAATTGATCTACTCCCTTATTTATTCATTTATCTATTCAATGTGAATCCCATTTTTATTGTAGATCTTTTTTTTTTTTTAATCCTGCCATATGACCTTTTCTGGCTGGTGACCAGTTCAGGGTGTCCGAAGACAGCTGAGATAGGCTCCAGCACGCCCGTGCACTTTGTGAGGTTAAGCGGATTAGAGAATGGATGGATGGATATGATCTTTTAGTCTTTTTACCCGGATGATTAGGATAGTAGTCAATGATGACTGAAGCTTGCGCTGACTCATTTTTTTTGTTTTGCTGCCACTGGCCTGAACTGCTGGGGGGGATCTCCCTTGATTCACAGAGCTTGCCTTCCTCCTCCCTTGACTTCTCTCCATCTTTCTCACCTCATCATCGTGTAGTATCTTACTAACCTGCTGTTCTTTGTCTTTGCCCTATGGTCGATGATGAGGCCGGGGACAGCGGTATCGGGAGCAGATCAGTATCATCGTTGTTGCTGACATCATGGGACTATTACTGTTGATACGGCTCACTCTGTCACTGCATCTGAAACCGAGCCAGATGGTTACCCCACAAAGCCTGGGCTCTATTTTCTTCCTTAGAGTTTTTCCTTGCCTCGCTTACCAGCTGCTTGCTCATGTGCTCATTGCTCATCAACTAAACCCTAGTTGGTTATATTATTGAAAAAAACATGTAATGTAACGCATGAGGATTTTGGTTCTTGACCTGCTCGGTGTGTAAAACTGCTTTGGGATAACTTCTGTTGTGAATTGGCACCGTATTAATGAAAGTGAGTTGACTTGACATTTAACTTTTTCATGTGTGAACATAACTTTCTGGACTTGGAGCTGTACAATAACAAGTTCCATCAGAGTGCATCTGGTGGGATATGGTGAATTTATATTGTAGGCTTGTTCGCAACCTTGGATACTTGGATACAGTGTAAGTAGGCCGGTACACAGTGGTAAGCACATGTCAGTTTTATACTTTAGCGTATTGTCCCAGAATGTGTTCCGGCGTACCCTGACTTCACATGAGCCCACAGTACCCTCTCATATTCTATTTCTCTCTTGTGCTTGGTGATAACCATAATCATTCAGTGATTTGTGTAGGCTTGTCAACGAAGCGGCAAAAATACTCAGAACCAGGCTTGGGGAGTAACGGAATACTGTACATGTAATAGCGTTACGTATTTAGGATACTTTTTTTTTTTTTTAAATTGTACTCCGTTAAAGTTACAAAAAAAAAAAAACACGCACACAATCAGATGACAGGTCTGTCTATTAAAAATGAGGATTATTTTGCAGGATTACATTCTTAATGCAGGGAGGGAGAGAGCGCATCACCCACTCTTAACTTGTTGGCCAATTTCCCTGAGTTAAGTGGAGGACTGCTATAGCTCAATGCTCGTCTGAGGTACTGTATAGGTTTGTCCTGGCCAACGATTGCATGAGACCCTTAGATCCCTTCGAGTTTGGGTGAGCGGCTCGGTCATCCGAGAGGGACTCAGAGTCGAGCCGCTACTCCTCCACATTGAGAGATGCAAGATGACGTGGTTCGGGAATCTGATTAGCATGCCTCCTGGACGCCTCTCTGGTGAGGTGTTCGGGGGCATGTCCCACCGGCAGGAGGCACCGGGGACGACCCAGGATATGCTGGAGAGACTATGTCTCCCGGTTCCCCTGGGAACACCTTGGAATCCTTCCGAAGGAGTTGGAAGACGTGACTGGGGAGAGGGAAGTCTGGGCTTCTCTGCTAAAGCTGTGGGCCCCTGCGACCCGACTCCGGATAAGCGGTAGAAAATGGATGGACGGATGTTGACCCAAAGTATGTATGTAACAATAACGAAACAGAAGTCTTAATCTGCTTTAATGTTGCAGGCATTAGAAAGAGTCTCTTCCTTGTCTCTACAAGATCCTGATGGCATGATGCATTTGTTGTTTTTCACTCCTACTACTTGGAAGTAGACATGCAGCAAATGAGAAAGGAGGAGAATTCACTTCTGCTTACAGTGACAGACATGGTCTCTCTGTCATGATTGCCTCAAATACCAAGGTTAAAAACCTCGATTCTCACTTTGACTTTGCAAAGGATGAAATGTTGATATCGCCTTCATTTTGAAATCGTGAGAAACAAAAATCTTTCTTTTAAATTCTGGTTGAGGATAATGATATGAGCACCAGGTTTGAATGGAATGTTTTTTTTTTTAACCATGCATAAAATAGGAACAAAATGTTCTCTATCAGTCATTCTCCTGCAGTTGATTTTAAAATGTAACTATTGGGCATTACCCCAGACACAATTTTTGTGGTGAACTCCCTCAGAGAGTAGTTACTAAAAATACTGCTCAAAATTCTGAACTGCAAGATTCGTACCAGCAGAAAAGCCATTTATACTTCGGAAGAGCTCATCTGTATCCAACCACCCATCCATTTTCCGATCCGCTTTATCCTCACAAGGGTCGCGGGGCATGCTGGAGCCTATCCCAGGTGTCTTCGGGCAGTAGGCGGGGGACACCCTGAACTGGTTGCCAGCCAATCGCAGGGCACACAGAGATGAACAATCATCTGTGCTCATACTCACGCCTAGGGACAATTTGGAGTGTTCAATCAGCGTGCCATGCATGTTTTTGGAATGCGACGGGAAATCCGGAGAAAACCCACGCAGGCACGGGGAGAAACAGGAAATCCGGAGAAAACCCACGCAGGCACGGGGAGAACATGCAAACTCCACACAGGAAGACCGAACCCATGACATCTGCACTGTGAGGGCGACGCACTAACCACTGGCCCACCGGGCCGCCCGCTCATCTGAATGTCATCTGTAATTCTTTATGTCTATCTAGGTTGAGCAATAGTCCGGCATTGCCTTGCGGCATGCTGTCACATGAGCAGTTATGAATGCAGACGTACAGTACTTGACCTTGGCATACATCCAGCCTGGATCGGGTCATAGGTTTTTCTACCTTGAACCACTTTGGCAGCAATGAGAGCAAATTGGCCGGTGAATGTCACAACCTATTACCTTGTTGACCTCAGCACTATAAAAGTGTCGGACTGAGAAAAAGCTGACATCCTGACCGTCGTTCGTTCTTTACATTGTCGAGTACGTACGGTTGAGATGCAGCGGAGCTCATTACCTGTTCCTGTTTTGCCAAGGTGATCAGTGTAAGGCCAAGGCGGAAACATTTCCAACACCTTGACAGCAATCTATTCAAAAAGACTGTGGCGGCCCTGACAAGAAGGCACTTCCCAGTAGGTCTAATTGTAAGCATCTGTCAAAGTTGACCGCCTCCTTCTTTCTCTCCTTCCTCGCGCCAGCTAACAAACACACGGCTGCTGACGAAACGGGCAGTCATGTCCTCTCTTATTCTTTCAAAGCAAAACAGCACCATCTGTGCCTGGTTGAAGAGAGTCCGCTTAAATGCTTGGCACTGGCCTGCCAAGTTTCATCATCAAGCATCTGTAACCAGCACGTCGGTCACTTCTAAGAGAGGACTCCATCTGGGTCGTGGTGGCAACTTTAGATTGGGCGCGCATGGAGCTTTTCGCCGTGAGGCTGTCACTTTTTACGTGGTAGAAACAGTCAGGCACAACCCAATTATATGTCGGAAAAATTATAATTGTGTCGAGGCAGGCACCCTCAAGAACACATTCAAGTATTTGACATTGGAAAAGGCACCTCACAAAAGAAAACTGTCATAAAATTAAATATTGCTGACGTCGGTCCCAAATATGGTACCTCCAAAATAGTCACTATTCAGGAGACCCCCAAAACGGCATCAACCATTTAAAATTGCGGCATCAAATCCAGAGCAAGTCATGTTCACGTGAAAAGTTGAAGTGATAAAACCACCGATTTGTTGACATTATCGTTGGTACTGGAGTCATGATTTACTCACTTGTGTTTGTGCCGCAACTGTTCGGTAGAATTTGATGAAGCTGCCCAAGTTAACGCCTAAAAGACTGACAGTCAAATTTTTTTCGTAAATTATTTTAAAGTAATCCTGACCTATAAAACCAAACTTGAATGAATAATATATTTGTTTATTGATTGATTTATTGCTTGTGTTTGTTAAAA